ATCGTACGCTCCCTCTACCATCAAGATTGGTGTTTGCGTTGAGCATAGACATGATTGGATTATGTCTATCGCGATACGGTTATTCATTTAAGGAGAATAATGGTTACTCTGTTTATTTGAATAATACCTTCAATGGTCTTACGCCTAAAATGAATGGTTTATTGAATCTCGATCGTAGTGATACACATGTTCATGCCAAAAGATATAAGATAGTAATGATAGTACCACCTACTTGTGGCACTGCCACTTAAGTCATATCGGTATAAAACGCATGAAGAAGCTCCATGTTGATGGATCTTTGGGCTCACTCGTTTTGAAAAGTTTGAGACATGCGAACCATGTCTATTGGTGTATATGCATGAAGAAACTCCATGCAAATGGACCGTTTGGACTCACTTGATTTTGAATCACTTGAGACATGCAAATCATACCACATGGGCAAGATGACTGAAAGCCTTGTTTTCAGTAAAATGGAACTAGAAAGCAACTTGTTGGAAGTAATACATTTTGATGTGTGCAGTCCAATGAGTGCTGAGGCGTGTAGTGGACATCGTTATGTTCTTACTTCACAGATGATTTGAGTAAGATGTTGAGTATATTTACTTGATGAATCACGAGTCTGAATTATCGAAAGGTTCAAGTAATTTCAGGGTGAAGTTGAAAGATCGTCGTGACAAGAGGATAAAATATCTATGATATGATCATAGAGATGAATATCTGAATTACGAGTTTGGCATAAAATTAAGACATTGTGGAAATTGTTTCACAACTAATACAGCCTGGAACACCATAGTGTGATGGTGTGTCCGAACATCATAACTTCACCCTATTGGATATGATGCAAACCATGATGTCTCTTATCGAATTACCACGATAGTTTATGGGTTAGGCATTAGAGACAACCACATTCACTTTAAATAGGGCACCACGTAATTCCGATGAGATGACACCATATAAACTATGGTTTAGAGAAACCTAAGCTGTCATTTCTTAAAAGTTTGGGGCTGTGACACTTATGCGAAAAAGTTTCAGGCTGATAAGCTCGAACCCAAAGCGGATAAATGCATCTTCATAGGACACCCAAAACAGTTGGGTATACCTCCTGTCTCAGAACCGAAAGCAATAAGGGATTGTTTCTAGAATCGGGTCCTTTCTCGAGGAAAAGTTTCTCTCAAAAGAATTGAGTGGGAGGATGGTGGAGACTTGATGAGGTTATTGAACCGTCTCTTCAACTAGTGTGTGGCAGGGCACAGGAAGTTGTTCCTGTGGCACCTACACCAATTGGAAGCTTATGATAGTGATCATGAAACTTCAGATCAAGTCACTACCAAACCTCGTGGGATGACAAGGATGCGTACTACTTCAGAGTGGTACGTGATCCTATCTTGGAAGTCATGTTGCTAGACAACAATGAACCTACGAGCCATGGAGAAGCGATGGTGGGCCCGGATTCCGATAAATGGATCGAGGCCATAAAATCCGAGATAGGATCCATGTATGAAAACAAAGTGTAGACTTTGGAAGAACTACTTGATGGTCGTAAGGCTGTTAGGTACATATGGATTTTAAAAGGAAGACGGACAATGATGGTAAGTATCACCATTAAGAAAGCTAGACTTGTCGTTAAGATGTTTTCCCACAAGTTCAAGGAGTTGACTACGATGAGACTTTCTCACTCGTAGCGATGCTAAGAGTCTGTTGGAATTATATTAGCGATTACTGCATTATTTATGAAATCTTGCAGATAGGATGTCAAAACATTGTTTCCTTGACGATTTTCTTGAGGAAAGGTTGTATGTGATACAACCGGAAGGTTTTGTCAATCCTGAAAGATGCTAATAAGTATGCAAAGCTCCAGCAATCCTTCTAAGGACTGGAGTAAGCATCTCGGAGTTGGAATGTACGCTTTGATGAGATGATCAAAGATTTTGGGTTTATACAAAGTTTATGAGAAACTTGTATTTCCAAAGAAGTGAGTGGGAGCACTATAGAATTTCTGATGAGTATATGTTGTTGACATATTATGGATCAGAAATGATGTAGAATTTCTGGAAAGCATATAGGGTTATTTGGAAAGTGTTTTTCAATGGAAAGCCTGGATTAAGCTACTTGAACATTGAGCATCAAGATCTATAAGGATAGATCAAAACGCTTAATGGTACTTTCAAATGAGCACATACCTTGACATGATCTTGAAGGGGTTCAAGATGGATCAGTCAAAGAAGGAGTACTTGCCTGAGTTGTAAGGTATGAAGTTAAGACTTAAAGCTCGACCACGGCAGAAGAAAGAGAAAGGACGAATATCGTCCCCTATGCTTTTGTCATAGGCTCTATACGGTATGCCATGCTGAGTACCGCACCTGATGTGTGCCTTGCCACATATCCGGCAAGAGGGTACAAAGGTAATCTAGGAGTAGATCACCAGATAGCGGTATAAATTATCCTTAGAGGAATAAGGATATGTTTCTCGGTTATGGAGGTGATAAAGAGTTCGACGTAAAGAGTTACGTCGATGCAAGCTTAACACCTATCCGGATAGCTCTGAGTAGAGATACCGGATACGTATAATGGAGCAGCAATTTAGAATAGCTCCAAGTAGAACAGTTATTTGAAATGGCTCCAAATATAGCATAGTAGCTGCATCTACAAGATGACATAGAGATTTGCGAAGTACATACGGATCTGAAAGATTCAGACCCGTTGACCATAACATTTCTCACAAGCATAACATGATCAAACCCAGAACTCATCGAGTGTTAATCACATGGTAATGTGAACTAGATTATTGACTCTAGTAAACTCTTTGGGTGTTAGTCACATGGGGATGTGACCTTGAGTGTTAATCACATATCGATGTGAACTGGATTATTGACTCTAGTGCAAGTGGGAGACTATTGGAAATATGCCCTAGAGGCAATAATAAATTAGTTATTATTATAGTTCCTTGTTCATGATAATCGTTTATTATCCATGCTAGAATTGTATTGATAGGAAACTCAGATACATGTGTGGATACATAGACAACACCATGTCCCTAGTAAGCCTCTAGTTGACTAGCTCGTTGATCAATAGATGGTTACGGTTTCCTGACCATGGACATTGGATGTCATTGATAACGGGATCACATCATTAGGAGAATGATGTGATGGACAAAGACCCAATCCTAAGCCTAGCACAAGATCATGTAGTTTGTATGCTAAATCTTTTCTAATGTCAAGTATCATTTCCTTAGACCATGAGATTGTCCAACTCCCGGATACTGTAGGAGTACTTTGGGTGTGCCAAACGTCACAACGTAACTGGGTGGCTATAAAGGTACACTACAGGTATCTCCGAAAGTGTCTGTTGGGTTGGCACGAATCGAGACTGGGATTTGTCACTCCGTGTAAACGGAGAGGTATCTCTGGGCCCACTCGGTAGGACATCATCATAATGTGCACAATGTGATCAAGGAGTTGATCACGGGATGATGTGTTACGAAACGAGTAAAGAGACTTGCCGGTAACGACATTGAACAACATATCGGGATACCGACGATCGAATCTCGGGCAAGTATCGTACCGCTAGACAAAGGGAATTGTATACGGGATTGATTAAGTCCTTGACATCGTGGTTCATCCGATGAGATCATCGTGGAACATGTGGGAGCCAACATGGGTATCCAGATCCCGCTGATGGTTATTGACCGGAGAGTCATCTCGGTCATGTCTGCATGTCTCCCGAACCCGTAGGGTCTACACACTTAAGGTTCGGTGACGCTAGGGTTATAGAGATATTAGTATGCGGTAGCCCGAAAGTTGTTCGGAGTCCCGGATGAGATCCCGGACGTCACGAGGAGTTCCGGAATGGTCCGGAGGTAAAGATTTATATATGGGAAGTCTTGTTTTGGTCGCCGGAAAAGTTTCGCGCATTATCGGTATTGTACCGGGAGTGACGAAAGGGGTCCGGGGGTCCACCAAAGGGGTCCACCTGCCCCGGAGGGCCACATGGGCTGTAGGGGTGTGCGCCTTGGCCTATATGGGCCAAGGGCACCAGCCCCAAGAGGCCCATGCGCCAAGAGATAAGGGAAAGAAAGAGTCCTAAAGGGGGAAGGCACCTTCTAGGTGCCTTGGGGAGGATGGACTCCTCCCTGGCCGCACCCTTCTTGGAGGAAGGGCCAAGGCTGCCCCCCCTCTCCCTTGGCCCTATATATAGTGGGGGGAAGGGAGGGCAACCGCACCTAAGCCCTGGCGCCTCCCTCTCCCTCCCATGACACATCTCCCTCCTTCCGCAGCGCTTGACGAAGCCCTGTTGGAATCCCGCTACTTCCACCACCACGCCATCGTGCTGCTGGATCTCCATCAACCTCTCCTCCCCCCTTGCTGGATCAAGAAGGAGGAAACGTCGCTGCTCCGTACGTGTGTTGAACGCGGAGGTGCCGTCCGTTCGTCGCTAGGATCATCGGTGATTTGGATCACGACGAGTACGACTCCATCAACCCCGTTCTCTTGAACGCTTTCGCGCGCGGTCTACAAGGGTATGTAGATCCACTCCTTCCTCGTTGCTAGATGGCTCCATAGATTGATCTTGGTGATACGTAGAAAATTTTGAATTATTGCTACGTTCACAACAGTGATACTCACAACCCAGCCCAAGGTTTGACGCATGTGTCTCGTAAAGGCAAAATATTCTTCCAATCAGAGGTGACGCTTTCATGGTTTATAGAGGCAGGCATTTGTGCCTGATATGAGTGTTACCGTGTCTACTAAAACAAATCAGATCACATTATTTTCCATATAATTAAAATCACATTTCCGTGGTGCAGAAAAGGAAAAGATCATTTTACCCAAGAGTCTCTATCTATCGACTATCGTTGGCCGGTCTCCCCCAAATCTGCGAACCCCCAAACCCTAGCTCCCCCAAATCACCGAGCCAACCCCTTCTCCCGAGCTCCACCCACCGCATTGGCGCGGTGTGATCTGTGAGTGTGTGAGGCGCCAAATAAAATCCCTCATCCAACCATGGAGCAGAGCGATGGGCCGAAGCGGCCGAAGCTCGTTGATGCTGCCGACGGCGACGAGGACCGCCTCAGCGTGCTGCCCGACGACATTCTCATTGACATCCTCGCCAAGCTCCACCGCACCACCATGGACGCTCGGACCAGCGTCCTCTCCCGCCGCTGGCGGGGCCTCTGGAAGCTCCTCCCGGTGCTCAACTTCCCACTCGGCACCGAGCCGCCCCTCGGCATAGAACCGAAGCACATAGTCTCCGCCCTCACATCCCACGAAGCGCCGGTCATCCGCCACCTCATCGTTAGCCTCCGGGAGGCCGCTGCGGAGTCGGTGGCGATGTGGCTCCCCATCATCGCGCCCCGCCTCTTCGGCGAACTATCCATCTTCAATCTCAGGTGGGACCGGGACAGGGAAATAGGCACCGTTGAGCTGCCTTGCTTCCAGAGTGCCGACCGGATCTGCCTCAACCTAGACGATCATGGCCTCGCCCTGCCGCCCTCCGGCGTGTTTGCCCGGCTCACCTATCTCCGTATGATATCCATTAGGATGCGTGGTCCCTGCAGACTCGGTGACATTGTCTCCTCGCCACGGTGCCCATTGCTGCAAAAGCTCTTCCTACGTGACTCCTATGTCCAGGATGACGTTGTTGTAATCCACTCAGAGTCTCTCTTAGAAATAGGGATAGATAATGTGTTACTACACCACGACGCCTTGGGTCTGCGCATCCTCGCCATTTGCTCAGAGTCTGTCCTCCAAATAGATCTGAAGAATTTAGCCTTGCGGCAGCTCCTTGTCGTGGCGCCCGCACTCATTTCGTTGAAAGAGAAAGGCACCCACTACATTGCTGATGCTGTGGATCTGAGTCAACCAGTTGTCAACATCTCAGCCCCTCAGCTCATGTTGCTTGAATGGAATGCTAGTTATGATCGAAGTTCCGTTCAGTTTGGCAAGATGGCACATCTCCAATGGCTGCACGCTGGTCAATTTCTTGTATATGGATCAGATGAGGATTTTGCACACAATCATATCAGGCTTTTGTAGTGCTTTGAGTTCATCGCCTGTCTTAACCTTGCGCTTTACTATTGGAAGGTGAGTTCCATTCTTTCGTGATATTCCATCATCATAATATGCTACCAAGTCAATAATAACAAGGCAAATATGGGGTTATGATATTTGGTATATTTGAGTAAGCATTACATAATTCTCACTTGTTTGTCTTTCCTCATGTCTGTGCAACATGGCTTAGTGCACTCAATATTTATTCTTTCCCAATACTTGTATAGTTATCCTCTTAGATGGTACTTGCTTTGTACCACCTTTGAGTAGTTAGCATTGAAGCTGCACGCTAGTATTACTGCACTAGGATTTAGTTATTACTGAACTAGAATTTAGTTATTGAATGGGACATCAGCTCTCAGGAGTGGAAAAACGTGAACACCAGCAGTCCTTGTGGCCGGATTGGATATCCTCCCACCAACACACACAAAACCACTTGTAGTTAGAAATATGAGTATGTCTCTGTCTTTCTCCAACCGTTATATATAATCCTCCTTTGTGACTTTCTATCAACCTGTAGGACATGTCTGAGCACCAATGCTACTTGATGGAGGACATGCCAAGGCTTCCATATATTTTATTCTTGTCCGTAAATGTGGCGGCGAATGAACATTCCTTTGGAGCCAGCTTATTCCATGTTCTCAGGCTGTGTTCTAGTGTAAGAAAGCTGACTATTGCATTTGATGTCAGTACCAGGCAACTAGAGGTAAAGTTACATCCTTAATCTGTTTATCTAATATTCCCTCCGTTCCTAAATATTTGTCTTTTTAGAGATTTCAAATAGACTACCACATACGGATGTATATAGACATACTTTAGAGTGTAGATTCACTCATTTTGTTCCGTATGTAGTCACTTGTTGAAATCTCTAGAAAGACAAATATTTAGAAACGGAGGGGGTATTTGAGTTACCTGGAAAGTCACTATCTATTCAATATGTACTTCCATTTTTATGCATACTTTGGCTTGGGTTGCCAGTTGGCTCATTCTAGGTGTTGGTTTGCTCTTCAAACTTTGACAAAGTGGCATACTAATTGTGTTTGGTAGCTAGGTAATATGTTGCATTTCAAAAGATCACCTGTCTATTGAAAATCAGAGAAACTAGGAACCTTTCCAGCAAAAAAATTGAGCACTTCCTTCCTCTTCTCTGCTCTACTTTCTCAGAAAAATTAATATATCATTGAATGTTATTTACCGATGGAAGATCTTTTATAATGGTTCTGTTATTTGACTCTTCCTGAAGAACAACCATATTTTCTGCCATATATAGGTTGGCCCCAACTAATTTCTAGGTAGTATGCTTTTGTTAATGTAGTTGATGTCATATCCCAAAGTATTCAGGTCATAGTTTCATATTTCCAGTTTCACCTCTCTCATTTTACAACATCAAATCATCCCAGTTATTCACTTGTTCTTATTAAGCTGATATGATGTTTCAGGCTCAAACTACATGCTCACTGGGTTGCATATGCCATCAGCCACCAAACTGGAAAACTGACGAACTCCTGCTGGGTCACCTTGTAATAATGAAAATCGATGCCTAGAGAGGAACTGAAAATGAAGTTGCTTTTGTTGAGCGGTTTCTTAATTGGGCAACAGTGCTAAAAGAAATGACGATAACTTTCCATCAGTCAGTTACTGAAAGCAACGCCGAGGATCTCTGCCAGACATTACTAAGCTTCTCAAGGCCGGAAACTTGCATGAAATTTTACATGTACCGTGGCTTGTACGCGAAGGTCCCGTATGTTCCTGAAGGCTAAGGCACCTGCTTGTGTCTTTTGGTGTCAACAACACTCTATGTAAAGATCAAAATCTAGTAGAGCGGTCCAAGATGTTACAATGTCATCAACCTATTTTGAACTTGCTTCATGTTTCATCAGTTGTACTGCTCGTGAATGGAGTTCTCAAGTGTCAACGTTGTTTTCACAAGCCTTTGGTGTGTAAGTTCTGTGCCTTTGGTGTGTAAGTTCTGATTGTTGGCATGCTCAAAAGTGGTAGTGAACTCATCAAGTTATGTCATCTTGGTTATGATTGTGTTATCTGCGGTGCCGACTGAATCCTGGTTTTGTCTGAAGAAAACATCAGTTGCATGATGTATTTACAAGTGAACTAGTTCAATTTCATGCTGTTTGGCAGAGCATATCTCATAAGGAATGACGCAGACATTTGCTTGAGTACGTGAATGTAACACCCCGGATGTAATTTACTTTATCTGTATCCCAACTCTTGCCGTTTCCGGCACTAAGTTATTCTATTTCGTTGTTGTCGGGTTTTTGTCTCCGTGTGTTTTGTCTTTGTCTTGCATCTCATATCATGTCATCATGTGCATTGCTTTTGCATAAATGTTCATCTCATGCATCCGAGCTTTTTCTCCGTTGTCCGTTTTGCATTTCGGCGCTCCTATGTCCCCCGGTGGTCCTTTCTACCTCTTTTTCATGCGTGGGTACTAAACTTTTTTGGATTGGACCGAGACTTGTCATGCGGCCTTGGTTTACTACCGATAGACCGCCTGTCAAGTTTCGTGCCATTTGGACTTCGTTTGATACTACAACGGTTAACCGAGGAACCGAAAAGGCTTCGTGTGTGTTCAAGCCCAACACCCTTTCAAACTGGCCCAAAACCCACCAAAACCTCCCCCATCATCTAGAGAGTCCGATCACGATCGCGTGGCCGCAAACCGCACCCCATTTGGAGTTTCCTAACTCCTCCTACCTCTATATATATCCCCTCCTCCAAAAATCTCGGGTCTCCTTCCACCCTAACCCTAGAAAACTCCACCCGCCGCCGCCGGACAAAAATCCGGGCAGCGGACGTGTCCGCCCGCTCCGCCGGACCTACCAGGGCGTGCCACATGGCACCGCG